GCCTGAGCGGCGCGGCGGTGCGCGAAATTGGCGGTGATGTTGCGCAGTAACTTCGCGGCGTATTCTCCTCGACTATCAGCGAGCGAGCGTGCGAGGGAGGACGGCGGGCGTGCGCTTGAAAATTCACGCTGGACCAACTCGTTCCTGTTCTTTGTTACTCCTACATTCTCTAAAGATCTTGCCCAATTCCTGTCGACGAGCAATCTGTGCATCTATGCTACGATTTTCAAGCGAGTTCTGGCCAGCTGTACCCTCTCCAAAATCGACTCTCGGATCCCAAGCACTGCGCACTGAGTCGTCTTCGTGCCCCACAGCACGCGCAGCACCTCGACGTCCTCCTCGTGATTTCCGTCTTCTTAAATCTTTCTCGGTCGTTTTCCCATTCTTCGGCGACTGTAAAATATATCAGTCTAGTGGTTCTCCCACTGCTTCCGACGGGCCTTCGAAGCTCCCTTGGATCTGTGGCGTGCCCTGCAGCGCATTTGTGTTGTTGTCCTCCCCGAGAGCACGCGGAGTACTCACAGCAAGCGTTGCCGAGAATAGCTATTTATTCGGTGATCCGGAGGGCGTTGACCCAGGCCAGCTGCAATATTGCCACTACAAATCTGTCAAAACTTCAATCAGCGACCTAGACGTTGGAATATATATTGGGTTTCGCCTGGAAAGCCATCTTTCCGACCCGAAATTCGGGAAAGAGTAACGGTGAACCGACATTGGCAGGGAAGAGAGTCGAAGATAGTCAGCTAGTCAACCCGGGGTCCTGACGGTGAACCCTGAACGGTGGGAAGCAGAATCGGCGGGAAAAGGCTGAGTCAAGCTGAGCTTGTGACGCGGCATACGGAGATCTAGACCAGGCTTCAGCGCGCAGAACGAGACGGCAGGCCGGGGAGCTGCAAACACTTACTATCTTAGAGTTAGTCCGGATGGCGGTCGAAACACATGAAGCACTGATAGAAAGGAATTCGGAGAGGTAAGGCTCCAACCATCTCCGTTTTCAAACGTTTTTAAACGGTTAAAACCGTTTATTTTTTCCATTTAGTTTACGGGACCCTGCAAACGGTAAACAAACAGTTTAAACGGTTGTATTACCTCGCCCTCTGTAAGGGACTACACACTGGATTCCTCCGAATTCTTGGGGATCTGGGAGGGCCATATGTATGTGTGTGGCAATTTAAAGTGATGTTCTGACCTCATACCAAGCTTTCGGCACTCCAGTGGCGGGATATGCTCCCAATATAGTAATGTCTCACGTGAGTGACGGCAGCGGATCAATTGATGCACCTGCGGCACTCCCGATTCAGCCCCCTGCTCAACCCAAAACCGTGATTTAGTGATCCACATTGCTAATCCACAACTTCGGCTCTGGCCAAAATGCTGAGACATGGTATGATGTGCCAAAGTCAAATACCCCCCAAAAATACCGTTTATAAACTGTTTTAAACTGTTTTAAACTGTTTTAAACTGTTTTTGAATCGTTTCCGTTTAGTTTACGGACTTGGATAAACGAAAACTAAATGGTTGGAGCCTTACCCGGGAGAGGCGAGGAAACCGTCAAGTCACGAGGTGGTTCATGCGCCCGTCTGAATATCTTCGACGAAGTGGACCCGGCGAGCAATCTGCAGCTTCCTTTGCTTTCACGGCACCGAATTCAACTCTGCCATGCTTAGGCGTTAAACCGCACAGCCTGTCGTACCTCATCGTCGATTCGGTATGCGTGGCTCGCGCTCTGGACTGGACTGGACTGCACTGCACACCAACTGTACATGGTGACTGACATTTGAGCGCTTGTGTTGCTGAGCAACTTCCCACGGGACTTCGACGGCCAACGGTGTTTGCGCGGATGCGTACCTCCATTGATTATCACATGTAGCCCGCGCGCTCTCTTATTGAAATGTGCGTCTCACGCAGTCCTTTTATTTGACCTCATCGTCCTCCTTCGCGTCCGTCTTCCCAACTCTCTCTCTTGGAGAAGTGAATAGAAACATCCGAAATGGAAAGTCTGCGAAGCGATCATTACAGCTATGGCCACATGACTGACAGTTGAGGCTGTTCTATCTTGGTTCTATCCTAAACATAACCGCACTGCAAAACCAGGCTTCCGTTCTGCGTCGGCACTCTCTCCACTTTCCTCCCCTCTCCCCACCATGAACTCATTGACTCGCCAACAAACCCTGGAGAGTGTCCGCAGCTGGTGGTCCGACAGCAACCCGACTGGCCCCAACATCAACCTACATGCACTCGCGAAGCCCCTGATGAAGCTTATGTATCACCGGCAGGCGTTGTACTACATTGCCGAACATCGGTTCACGCCGCTTTCGAGGAGGGATATGGAAATTTATGCCAGTTATCTCGGGTCTGAGCCTGTCCTTTTCTCGTGTCCTATGGCTGACGTATCGTACAGGTTCAAATGTGTATCATCTACCACGAAGACCGCGGTTCTGAGGGACCTGATTGCGAGAGTGCACTCTAACGACGACGTGGTCGCGGTGGCAGATTTCATTTCATTGTTTCCCTGCGACATCCTACTCGAAGCACAAAACGCGAATGTCCGGAGCTGGATGTGCCGTCTGCTGGATACCCTGGTACGCTGGCGTCCGGATCCCACTGTCACCTGGTTGGTCAGCGTCTGCAAACAGCTTGTATCGCTCTTGCAGTGAGTGTCAGTAATTTGTTTCCGATGCAGAAGATCCCTGATTCGAGACTAGGGATGAGAGTGAAACTGTCGGAGAAGAGGCGCTCCTTGTACTGCGGGCGATCGCCATAAATCCCGAAGGTGCCCAGGCTGTCGGCGGCGCACATGTGCTAGAGCGCGTGGCGGAACTGGTGGAATCCCCCAACTCTAGTGTTCGGTGCCGAGCTTGTCAGCTGCTGGGGAAACTGGCATCCCACAAGGCGACGGTGCCGGGTGTCTTGCGGGGAAATGTCTGCGAGCAGGTCGTAACCCTCTTGCGGTGGGCTTGATTCCTTAATTTTCATCAAGGTGTGGATACAAGTTAATGTTGAATCAGTGACAAAAGCCTCTTTGTCATCGAGAGTGCACTAGAGGCACTCTATTGGATCACAGACTCACCTGAAGGCATGCAGGCGGCGATAGATGCAAACTTGCTCGACCATGTCACTGAGCTCCTTGAATCACCGACACCGTATACTCGGTACTCGATGTGCAGCATGCTAGTGGCCCACGACGGCATGTTGGCAGCCCTCGTCAGAGGAACGCACTGCGAACAGTTGGTATCACTCCTGGGGTGAGTCTGGGGTATTTTATGTGGTCGAAATTCTAACTCTTGATAAACAGAAGTCGCGAGGCGGATGAATATGTGGTCGCCTGGGGGGCCAACTGTGTGATAGAGGTACTGCGTTGGATCGCCAAATCCCCCGAAGGCGCGCAGGCTGTTGTGGACGCAAATGTCTTGGACTCGGTGAACTATCTCCTTGGCTCGAACCGTCATGTTCGGGGGGAGGGATGCAAGATGCTTGAAGTGCTTGTGTCCCACGTGTCTACAGTGACTGCCGTCCTGTGCGCAACACCTTGTTGGCGGCTTGTATCGCTTCTCCGGTGAGTCATCGGACTTTTACCAAATTAACATTTCACTCATTCAACGACGAGCGCAGTGGCATTTGGGTCCGAGACGATGTACTCTCCGCTCTCGCCCAAATCAGCGAGCATCCTGACGGTGTTGCGGCGATTGCAGCCACAGATATCCTGGGGCACGTTGCGACGCTAATGGAAATTCGAGATCGCGCAGCACAATTGCAAACATGCATCATTCTGGGAAATCTGTGTCGGTATCAGCGTAGACGGCGGGTTGAATCACGAAAAACAATCTCGCTTGAGAAGGAGTCCATTGCTTGGGATCACTTTACTTTAACTTAGAGCTCGTGGGTCATAATTCTTATTCGTGAAATTTAATTGTCCCGGCCGATGCGTCCTGCAGAGCTTCACCTCCTTGCCTCCAAGATTACAAGGGTTACACATCGGCACGTGGCCCAGGCTCGATTCGAACGAGAAATTCTCCAGAGATACAACATCGACCACAAGCTATCGCATGCAGGTGCGGAACATCCGCTACCCGGCCTTGTCGTGGTACCTGTGAGCTTAGTTAAATCAGCGTTGGGTCTTGACCTCCGCGAAACAAAGACGGGGGAAGATACATATGGCCCGGGCTCGATTCGAAAGAGATGTGGGAAGACTGATTGTGATTGAATACAGGTACGGAAACCATTCGCTACTACACTTCACAAGAGCCTCCGAACCTATTTAAATCAGCGTTAATTTCGGGAGGAAGGGAAAAAGACTTGCGCCACCAAATGGCCTAGGCTCGATTCGAACGAGCATCTCCTGCATACTGTACGGGGGATCGACGATTGAGAGTAGGTGCGCACCATCCGCTACTGGGCCGTCCTCTGTTACCTGTGAACGAATTTAAATCAACATTGGTTCGGTCATTCCGCTAAAAAGTCCGGTCCCAACGCATGATGGTCCAGGCTCGATTCGAACGAGCAATACCTGTAGAAATGCATCGTGGCTCACATGCGCTCACAAGCTATCGCCTGCCGGCGCGGACCATCTGTCACCGGGCCATCTCTCGTACTATGAACCTATTTAAATCAGCTGCCGTTCATTGCCACTGAGAGGGAAAAGACTGTCGTCTGAGATGTCATGGCCCAGCCTCGATTCGAACAAGCAGATCCTGCAGAACAATATATCGAGAAACTACGGTATGCAGGTGGGGATCATCCGGTACTGGGACTTCCTTCCCTCCCTGCAAACGTAGATAAATAAGCATTCTTTCTTGAGTCTGCAAAAAAGAAGGATACAGAGGGCGAACCAGGGCCTAGGCTGGATTCGAACGAGCATTTCCCGCAGATAGACTACTGGAGGACCTTATTAGGAGCAGGTGCGGACCGTCCCCTACTGGGCCTTCCTCCCGAACATATGTACATATTTAAACATGTTTTCGTTGACGGTCTGAAGAAAAGCATGTAGAGACACTACCCAATGGCCCAGGCTCGATTTGAACGAACGACTCCTGCAGAGATATAAAGTCGCCCATAAGCTATCGAGTGCAGGCGCGGACCATCCGCTACTGGGCCTCTGAGTCAATACACCGGTATGAACCTATTTAAATGCGCATTATTTTGTCTAGAACTGGTAGCTTGCTGCTTGCTCACTATTGAGATTTCCGCGGCATTCGCAGAACGCCGAACATTGGAGATTGAGCGAGGCATACTTTCGAATGGATGGATTAGATAGAACGCGAACGACGCCGGCACAGCAGTTCGGTTGAGATTCGGAGACCGCCGGAACGGACTCGGAAAAGAGCGGGTGGCTGGGCATCTCTCTGTCGATTCTCACGTTTTAATAGCCTGAGCTTGAGCGGTGATGCTCACTGCGACAACTTGAACGCCCCCATCGTCCATCGGGGCAAGCTGGGCCAGCCTCCTCGTCCGACGCATCGATCGGCTCGGATGACCGGCGTCTCTCCATCGCGCATCCTCCATTGCATCGGACCCCACGATGCGTCACTGCTAGCGCGGGTACGTGCCCACTGGCCTTCCGCCTTCTTCAAGTCCGCGTGCGCAGCTGCTGCTCGGGAACAAACGAATCCAAGATGTGCGCCACCGCCTCCCGAGTGTCGCAATACGCGCCGCGCACCCGCCCACCGCTTTTACCCTCCACCACCCATCTGTGACCTCCCAGCCTTAGTACTCCGCTCTCCATTCACGTGCCCAGCCCCAGCCCTCAAGCACAGGCCGCCCTAACAACGCCCACCACTATCGTCGACGTTGAGAATATCGCGTCGCAGCTGCGAATCGAGAGTCAGGACGCGTAGTCACAGACCCCGTACGTCTTCATCCCCTTCCCCGTTCCCTCGTGCGCGTTATTGACGATCGCATTTGCGTATAGGCGCAGCTACTCCACGTCCAGGTCGCACAGCTCGCGGGCCGCGACAAATTCAGCGCCGCGGATCTCAATATGCATCGACCCGGATGTCTCTGTGCGCAGGCCAGCGCATCGATGCGCGCTGCGGGGGAGCATGGTGATCGATGGGACGATGCAGACCTCCATATGTACGTCCTCTCATCCCTCTCGCTCCCTCTCCCCGGATTCCGGATTGACGACATCTGCAGGCCGCCGACTGGGAGCGCGATCACCTCACAGATGCCACTCCGCGTGGGTGGTCGTCCAAGGCCCGCTTCGTACTTGGAGCCTCCGTGCGCGCTCTCTTCCTCTGTCCTCCCTCCCCACACCGACGACATCGCCGAGCGCAGGGCCGCCCACTCGGAGCAGGATCACAGATGACCGAACGACTTCACGCCAGCGTTGCAGTGCGTGCTCCTCCCTCTCCGTGTTGACGACTGACGATTGACGAGGTCTCCAGGAGTGCGCGCGCAGGTGGCCGAACGAGTGCAAGCCGGCAGTGCAATCCGTGCGTGCCCCTCCTTCCTTTCCCCGCGCTCCATGTTGACGACATCTGTAGGCAATTCCGTCGGAGAGCGCCGGGCATGCGCGGACGGATGCGGGTGCGGATCCGTGGCGTATGTATCCGTGCGTGCGCCTCGCTTTCCCCGAGCCCTGTTGATGAGATCTGCAGGAGAAGTTGACGAGATCTGCGGGGGTGCCGACTCCCGAGCGCAGGGGCCCGCGCGTGCGTCCACGACTCACGATTCGGGGCGCGTGTACGGGAAAGTGGTGTACGGGAAAGTGGTGCAACGCTCGAAGAAGGGCGGCGCAGCCATGGGACGATGGATCATCTCTCACCTGTCATCTATCCGTCTCCCTCCCTCCCGCTTCCCTCCTCAGCCGAGCCCATTGACGCCCTCTTCAGGAATCAAGGGCACCGACTCTGAACGCATACATCGGAACCAGAAAAGTTACGAGGTACAAGGCCGTGGGGATGGTGATGGAGATTCTGCGCACGCGCCAGCATTTCCCCCCGACCGACGATGAGCGAGCGAGCGCGGAACGGGCGGTGGTGGCCAGTAGCTTCAGTGATATCAGCAGATGTGATTTAATTTTGACACAAGTTACTGATCTGGGAAGTTTAAATTTTTCGCACAAGTTGCTGTAGAAATAAATTAAATTTTCATACAAGTTGCTGCAGCAGGATTAATCCGAGGCCAAGTCAAAATGAAAGACCTGCGGGAGCGAGAGTCAAACCACCAACCTCGGTAACTCGACCAAACTAACAAGAGCCACGTAGCTTACCACTCCACTAATTGGCTGTTGAGGGCAGTTAAAATATTGCCATTATAACACCAAGCTGTTTAAAGAAACCAACACCGAGGGAAAGGTTAACTGGTTGGGCAAGAACTCATCTTCAAAAAAGAGATATAAAGAGTAGGAAGCATATGCAATTGGGGCAAAATGAATGGTTAGAAATTAGTCGATGGACATGATCTGATGGCGGCAATTCTTGGTTGCTGCTACTCCTTGGTAGTGTAGTGGTAAAGTTAGTGACCTGGTAATTTGCTGCACTCTGTGGATGACAGCAGTCTAAGGTTCAGTCCCTGCTATTGTCATTCATTTTATTGAACCGATTAATCTGCGCAAGATTAATCTGGGACAATTAAATCTTTTGTCTCAGATTAATCTTGAAATTAAATCACAGCTGCTGCAACCGTTGGTAGCTTCGCAGCGTGTTCCCCCCGGTGAGCGAGCGAGCGCGCATGGGAGGACGGCGACCGGCATTGGGCGTGCATACATATAAGGCGGCGCGCGCTGGATTTGTAAAGGGCGGGCACGTCGTGCGCCCAAGGCGATACACGTTCTGCCTCCGAGCGCACGAGAAAGCGGGCGCTCCCTCAGCATTTCCCACCTCCGAGCGCACGGGAACGCCGGGCGCTCCTCCCTGCTTCACCCCCCTCGTTCCATCGTCTCCCGCCTCTCCTCCACGTTCTCTGCCCTCCCGTTTCAGAGCCATGCCCAGCACGGGCGTCTGTTACTGCCACCCTCTTCTTGCCCACGTCTGCACCCTCACTCTTCCTGCTGTCGAGTCGCGACCTATGCTTTGCGCTGGCCCGAAACTGAACTGCTTAGGCAATCACTATTGTTTCGATATCGCAGAGCTTTATTATCATAATACCATTCTTGCGTTTATTAATTTACCTTCCCTGGCTCCCTCGTCTACAGCTTCTACGATGCTTTGCTCACCGGGGGCGGACTCGCCGTCCTCGAATTCAGCTCGTTTGTGGGCCTCGAATGTGCGGTGGGTGCGTGCATGTATCCCTCCATTCTTGGCGCCTTCAAAGCCTTGTCAACTGAATGGATCCCGGATGACCGGGATCTCTGCTGTTGCCCACCACCCGTCTACGGACTGGACTCGGACCGCGCGCAGTTCTCAGGCTTCTTTCAATTGTGGCCGAATACTCTAAAGTTCTCATGGAATCATACCCCGACTGAACCGGATGCCTTTGACGCTGTCCCCGCAAAGTGCCGCAGTACCGTAGATCTAGATCCGATAACTCAAGAAATCCATGGTATGTGGGCTGCACCACCCCACCTTATTTTGAATTTAAGGAGAACTCTTATGCTTCATAGCCTTCTCGATTGCCCGCGGATCATCATGATTCTCAGAATGAACACAGCAGTATCGTCCGAAGTAGAAAACGCGCACAGCTATGGCTGAAGCTGTGCTATTATAAACATAACAGACTGCACCACGAGGCTTCCCTCCTTCGTCCGCGCTCTCTCCACTTTCCTCCCCACTCCCCAATATGAGCTCATTGACTCGCCAACGAACCCTGGACAGCGTCCGTAGCTGGTGGTCCGACAGCAACCCGACCGGCCCCAACATCAACTTACATGCACTCGCGAAGCCCCTGATGAAGCTCATGTATCACCGGCAGGCGTTGGACTACATCACCGAACATGATAGCAAACCGCTTTCGAGGGACGATATGGAGATTTATGCTAGTTATCTCGGGTCTCAGCCTGTTCTTTTCCTTGTCCTCTGGCTGACGTATCGTACAGGTTCAAATATGTATCATCTGCCACGAAGATCGCAGTTCTGACGGCACTGATTACGAAAGCCGGCTTTCAGGATAATGCGGAAACTGTGGTGGATTGTATCATATTGTATCCCCTCGACATCCTACTCGAATCTCGAAACGCGAAAGTGCAGGGCTTGACGTGTGATCTGCTGGAACGCCTGGCAAGACGGTGTCCGAATCGTACCGCCGCCTGGGCGGCCAGCGTCTGCAAACAGCTTGTACCACTTCTGAGGTAAATGTCGGCAACTTGTCTCCGGTGCAAAAGATCCCTGATTTGGGACTAGGGATGAGAATGGCATTGTCCAATGGCAGGCGCTATCCGCACTGTCGTGGATGACCAGCGAGCCTGAAGGCGCGCTGGCTGCCATCGACGCACATGTGCTGGATGGCTTGACGGAACTGGTGAAATCCCCCAACTTTAATGTCCGGGCGCGAACCCGTGAGCTGCTGGGGGAACTGGTATCCCACAAGGCAGTGGTGCCGCGTATCTTGGGGACAAATTTCTGCGAGCTGCTTGTAGCCCTTTTGCGGTGGGACTAATTCCTTAATTTCACCAAGGTGTTGATACCAAGTTAATGCTGGATCAGTAACGAAAATCACCTCGTCATCGAGACTGCAACATGGGCACTCTATCTGATCACAAAATCACCTGAATGCATGCAGGCGGCGATAGATTCAAACCTGCTCGACCATGTCATCAGACTCCTTGAATCACGGAGATGGATTACTCGGAGGTTGATGTGCTGGATGCTGGTGGCCCACGACGGTATGTTGGCCACCCTCGTCGGGGGAACGCACTGCAAACAGTTGATCTCACTCCTGGGGTGGGTCTGGGGTATTTTATGTGGTCGAGATATTGACTATTAAACAGAAGGCCAAGGGAGGACGTCGGGTATGTAGTAAAGGCACTGCGTTGGATTGCTAAATCCACTGAAGGCGCGCAGGCTGTCGTGGATGCAGGTGTATTGAAATCGGTGAACTATCTTCTTGATTCACAGAGCCTTCATGTCCAGCGGGAAGCATGCGAGATGCTTGGAGTGCTGGTGTCCCACTGGTCTACAGTGACTGCCGTCTTACACACAACGCCTTGTGTACAGCTT